GGAGGTGAGGGAGGAACGGGGTACGAGTCCACTCTGCTGGCTTCTGGGGGTGGAAGCTCTCCTGCAGCCCCCCAATTGCCTCCTCTCCCCAGATGGCAGCCTGCGGCAAGTGCAGCCTGGTGATGGCCGAGTGCTGTGATGTGCCCAGTATGGGCACTCAGGGCACTCCAAGCCAGGACTGCTTTGCAAGTGGGGCACCCCTGAGAACTGTCTCTCCGGGGTGGAGGTCGGGACCCTTTAAGCACAGCCCTCGGCTAGCATGAGACAGCAGCTCCACACTCTAAATCCTAATCTGATGCCCTGCCGGCACTGCTTCCGGCCATCCTTAACCCCGGTTTAGCATCCACTCAGTGTGGACATGCTAGTTTGAATTAGCAAAACGCTAATTCGAACTAATTTTTTAGTCTAGATGCACTAGTTTGAATTAGCTTAGTTCGAATTACTTTTAGCAGTTCAACTAGCGGGGTAGTGTAGACATACCCTAAGTTCTGTGCCCATGGAGGTCTCCCATGAGTATATTCATTGGTGACTTATTCCATCTAGTCACTATTCTTGCAACAGTAGTATTGTTTTGTTAATAAACATTATTTCTTTTTTTTTTAATTAACCTGGTATTGGTTCAGTTCTGTGTCATGGAAAATCTGTCTGTGGGATCTGCATGCCTCTGACTAGGGGGCAGCTTCCAGAGACTGCAGCTTGTATTTTCTCTTTTCTTTTTCAAGCTCTTTGGAAAAAACAGCTTGAGGTACCCTGGGGTTTTTTAAGGAGTTCCCAAGCGAGCTATTCCCTGGTTTTTTACCACTATTTGGGCTGTGGCAGCAATTTTTAATTCTCCAAAGAATGGGTATTAGGATTTTGGGGGGAGTAGAGATCAGGTTTTGGGGTGCTTTTGTGGGCCCCCACTTCTGTATTCATCGTCCCAGAGTGGGGAACAGTTTTGACACCCAGAGGTAATACCCAACGTCCCCTCTAAGTGCCATAAGCACAGCCCTGCAGCTGCTTAAAGAATCCTGCCCAGCCAGGGGAGAGACTCACTGTTCTGCCCTCAGCAGGGAGCTTCTGCTCCCTCCCCCAGCCAGGCAGCTCCTTGTGGGAGCCCTCAGCCCCTGCTGAGCAGGGCTGATTAAGCAGCTTAGAGGGACCCTTGGTACCGCCCCACGTCTAGAGCAAGTCCCACACCAGCTGCCTCTGGCCGGCAGAGAGGAGGCTGAATGTCAGTGCAGCCTCGCCAGGTAGCAGTCAGCCAGTAGAAATGCAGATAGGGATTTCAAACTGAGACAAAAGAATTTTGGAGTTTTCCTCCTTTGTCTCTGCCCAGTTTGATCTAGATACTGAGGGAGACAGAAGACATGTCTCTCTCCAAGAAAAAGACTCTTCACAATGTGTAAGTAGGATAAAGTTCAGATAAATCCGTTTTGTTTTCTGTAGTGCGACTTGGGATCTGATGTCTGTGCTGTTAGAAATGGGGTTTCCTCTCTTTTGTAACTAAGTTTTGGCCCATGAGAGTCTCCCATGAGTATAACAATTGGTGATTTTTTTCCATCTAATCATTATGCTTGCAACAGGAGTATTGTTTTGATAATAAAAGTTCTTTCTTTTTTTATTAACCTGGTATTGGTTCAGTTCTATATCTCGGAAAATCTGTCTGTGGGATCTGCATGCCTCTGACTAGGATACAGCTACCACAGACTGCAATTGGTATTTTCTCTTTTCTTTTTCAAGCTCTTTGGGGAAAAGAGCTTGGGGTGCCCTGGGGTTGGTTTCAAGTGTGCACCCCTATTTGTGGGTTCAAAAACACTTGATGGTGGCAGTGGATTTTTATCCCCAAAATCTAGATTTTTAGGATTTTGGGGGAAGTTTTATACTAAAGCCTGGAAAGATCAGGTTTTGGTGTACTTTTGTGGGTCCCCCACTTCTGTATTCATTGTGCCAGCGTGGGGAATCAGCCTTGACACCAGATTTTCTTGGAATAACTTGTGTGGTGGCAGCGGGCCATCTGGGTATTAGGATTTTGTGGAGGAAGTTTTTGGAGTGCTATAGAGGGCAAGGTTTTGGAGTGCTCTTGCGGGCCCCCAACTTCAGCATTCATTGTGCCAGAGTGGGGAACAGTCTTGACAATAACCGAGGGCATTTCATGGACATTAATGCAGGATGGAGTCAGTATCCAATGAAAGCAGAGCAGCTCCCATGCCCTCCCCAGCATTTGTCCCGGCCAAGGCAGCTCACGTCAAGCAGGGGACAGGAGAGTAGCTTCCCCACAACCTGCTCGGTGAAATTACCCAGAGCAAGGGAGGCAGAGGCAGGGCAACACCAGCCTGAAATCGGGGCTTCTTGAGCATGGGCCTAGCCATGGATCTCATGAGTGAGGAGCCCACACACAGTGAGGTACCAGCAAATCACCCCCCGTTTCTCCTCCTGGACTCCTGAGGGAAGTCTGGAGCCTGGATTGGGGGCAGGGCCCTCCCTGGAGCTAAGATTCTGCTGTTGCTGGTTTCTCACTATTACCACAGCCCAAAGGCGCATTCACGCTCAGCACCGTGCTTCAGTCTCCATCTCTGTCCCTGCCAGTCCTCTGGGCACCACCCAACCTGCACGAGAGAAACCTCCACCCAGAACAGACCTTCCAAAAGGCTTTAATGAGAAAGGGCAAAAGTTGCCAGTGGAGCCGTGTTAGGAACAAAAAGGCAGCAAAGGCCCCGCGACGCTGAGCGATGGGAAGTTACAGAGGAAATCACAGACCCTGCTCAGTCGCTCTGCTCCTTGGATTATACAAAATTGCGATAAAAAAGCGGATTGAAGCAGTTCCAGGCAGGGTCTGTCTGACGCCCGTTGGCCCATGAACGTGCGGGGGAGGCAGAGTCTAATCCTACAGCAGTTACATGCTCACAGGAGCTTTGCTCTGGGCTCAGCTGTTCCTATGTGGCTGTTCCAGAGACACCGTCTCCAACATCGTCATAGCCCGCGTCACCAGGAGCCGGGGCTGGGGCATCGCTCTGTACCCCAGAGGCCCCTTCGCGTCCGGGCGAGCGCAGACTCCAGGCTGAAAGTAGCAAGGGGGGCCCGTTACAGCCAGTGTGTCCCTCCCCCCCCACCGCGCACTCACGGAACGGGTGGGCAACACAGCGCAGGCTGGGAGTGACCCCCCCTTCCGCTGAGTGGGCCCCTGACAAGTGTGATGCGCTGACCCACACAGGGAGCACGTGGGGCAGAGTCTCTGTGCTGAGACCTGCCTGGGGCAGAGAAGTGGGGGGCTGGCAGTGAGCGGGGGACAGTTCCCACTGGGGGCTGCTGGATCCCCTGGCAGCTCATAGAGTCCCCAAGGGACCAACACCAGCCGAGACCTGGGGGCTGGCGCAGGATGGGCCCAGCCCAGGGGACGTGCCTGCATGTTGCAGATCTCACCTGCCCACCCAGGGCCCTTCACACATGAGTCCCACCCAGACCAAAGCCAGGCACATTTCACCTGCCCCATTTCCTCTGAGGGGCCAAGTGGGATCTCGGCCCTGGGCCCAGCTCTGGGCCTGTGGGCCCAGGGCCATTTCCATCCCGAGGGGACTGATCTCGAACCCGAGGCCAAGCCCGTAACAAGCCCGTAACCAGCCCATTATCATTCAGGTTCCCCCAATGTGGACGCGCTATCTCGATGTAGAGCCCCAGGAGGCACTGGGGAGAAATAACTTGGAATGGCCCCGGGGAGGGGCTATGTTGACATCGCAGCAGTGGAGCATCCATCCCCTCCCCCATCTTCTAAAAGAGCTTTTTTGGAAGAGGGGTCATTCCTCCATATGGCCCCCCCCCCCCCCATTATTTCAATATAACGCAATTGCTGTGCAATCGCACTATTGTTTTTCCCAAATAACGGCCATTATTCTGGAATAGCGGTGCAGTGTAGATGCACCCTACAAAACGAGGAGGGTTCTTTTAAAGAAGTGTGATTTCTTTGTAGGTCTCTGGTTTCTGAATCTTTAAATTAAACTCCAGGAACTAAGATTCAGCAACATTGCACCTCCCTGCTCACCTGTCTGTGAACACCTGGCCCTGTCACTGTCCCCATGGGCCCCAATGACTTCTGGGGCATTTGGTCTAGAACCAGGGTCATCTTCAGCATTAGAAGCTTCTCTGGCATCATCATAGCCATCCCCTGGGGCACCTCCAGGGAGAGCAGGGACCTCTGGAATAAAGAGGGGAATGAATGAGCATGAGATGAGACTGCACACTGAATAGCAAAATGAGCTACATGCAGGTGTGGACAATTAGGGAATTGTGTGTATTGATGCCTACAGCGCAGTTTAGCTGTTTGACATTAGCCTGCCAGACTGCAGAGAACTGAAAACCAAAAACTACAGAGCTAAACAGGGAGAGCAGGGACCTCTGGAATAAAGAGGGGAATGAATGAGCATGAGATGAGACTGCACACTGAATAGCAAAATGAGCTACATGCAGGTGTGGACAATTAGGGAATTGTGTGTATTGATGCCTACAGCGCAGTTTAGCTGTTTGACATTAGCCTGCCAGACTGCAGAGAACTGAAAACCAAAAACTACAGAGCTAAACCCCCCCCCCGACCCCCCTCACCAACCCCCCCCCCAAAAAACCCCAACCG